AGGCTAGGAGCTTTTGTAAATAAAATATACAATAAAAGGCTTTTATAATTTTTAAGCTATTTTATGTATATTCTATTAGTTAGTACTGATATCAAGAGAAAATTTCATTTAATCACTTATTCACTATATTAAAGAATACAGGATATGATACAAATGTGAATCGGTTCAAGTTGACAGACATCACGTTAGCAAAGCGTGTGGAAATTAACAAGCTGAATAATTGTAGTAGCCTATTAAGCATCTATTTCATATTTATGCTAAAAACATTAATCAATGATGTTCAGATTACTACATCCGCTCAGTGAATTTAGCAGTTTCGTTACTTGGTTGATAATTGACACAGAAACTTACTGAATCTCTAGTTAGTTGACAAATAATCTCAACAATAAAGAAGTGACTTTCTGTTTCAGTTCGTCTATATTTTTGCAGAATCATCCAATAAAACAGTATTGAAGGTACTGCCAGTTAGATTCAAGAAAGAGTGATTTGATGAAGAGATTTCTTTCCGCAAAATTCATTCTCAAAACAGTGTAATCGTAAATACATATTACTTTATCATAACTGTAAATAACATGTGTGTTAATAACAATTTAAGCCTCTTAACAAGAATGAAATTATTGTGTTTGGTTTATCTTATCCCTTTGCTAATATTTTCAATAAATTACGGTTATTGTCAAAAACCGAATCGTCAATAATCCTTATGGGAAAAAAAATAGTATATAATTGCAACTGTACAGCTCTCAGAATGAATTTTTCGGCAGGGATTTCTTCACAGAACATTTTCCTCTTTTATGCCTGAACATGTTTTTCGGTTACTTTATTACGATTTAAATGCTTATGTTTTCCGAATATTAACGTTTTATTTATAATCCTGGAACCAACAAGTCACTCGTGGTAAACTGAATAACTATAAATCGAAAAGCCAATGACCAATATTGATTGAGAAAATAAACTGCTTAATTTAGAGAAGGAAAATCTAGGGAACTCAAGATGTTGGACTCAACTAACTTACGGTAAATATAAAAGGGATTGAAGGAATTTCAAAAGGAGAAACGAGAAGACTAAAGGTGAATGTAAATAGGCGAAAAGGCACTACACATCTCCGTATCGTCTGAGTTTTGTAAGATACTAGCATTTTACATCTATTCACAATGAATACGCAGATATTTTGCTAATCCATTTGGAGTTTCCGATGCTACTGGATTTAAAACAGTCTTATTTATGCTTACCAATAAAGTGAACATTCAATTAATAATGGTCTGAACTCCCCTACCGAAGTTAATTAGTGATGTTAGGTAATTATGAAGTTAGTTCATTTATAGCTTGAAAAATACTAGATAACTCTATACAGCACTAGTTAAAACTTGAATTTACACAAACTTTGTAGTATTTCAGTGACGTTTGATATAACACAAAGACATAAATTTAGATAAAATACAACACCTAGAGAATAACAGATTTAGCGATCGAAAAAAAACGCACTTGAACTTACCTAAATTACCCTCAACAATTACTCCAGCACAATATCCAACAATTATGACAGCACAACAAATCAATGCCTTTGTTGAAGTTTTCGTATTTAGCAGTAAATAGGTAAATATCTATTCAACAGAAGGAAGAAACGGGGAACTATCATTAACTGAAAAAAAGATTCCAACAAAATATTAACTGAAGTATCAGAACGTCTTGACTAAGGGATTTTTAATACATCTATTAAAAACTGTCTTATTCTATAACCAAAGACCTGTTTCATTAGTATCCACAAAAAATGGACAACAGAAAAATGTAATCTATAACGTAACGATATCTACAAAACACATTTAAAGATGTATTTCTGTTTATTAATCTGTCTACTATAGCTTGACAATGATAATATAGATTTTTAAATAAATCATACAATTTAGAACTTGTATTCGTGAATTCAATAACAAGCACATTCGTTTTAAGACGTTCGATAGGAGTAATAACTGATCACAGAAATTAAGATGATAGAGTGTATAGAGTTTTCATTAGTATACAGTCACGATGAAATGTTAGTTACAATACAATAATTCCTTGTTCAATTTCTCAAGTTTGTGAAAATTTGTAATTTTTAGATAAGGATAGTGGTTATTGCTGTAGAAACTCTTGGAAAATAATCAAAAACCCTGTGACGAAACAGGAGATACATAAGCAAAATATGCAACGACTTGAAAAATTAGTCTATAAGAGAAGCGGATCCATTTGGATTAAGGCTACATAGAGGAAAAAACAACAAACAGTTTTATTGTGTACCTACAATCTAAAATCTGAAATAATTTGTCCTAACTACTAGATAATTCAGCTTATATAATAAGATATGATTTAGGACTCCAATTTCAAGTTATAAACTCTTTAGCCTTTAAGTCTACTTTTCTACTGTAGATGCAAACTGCTTGTTTGGGGTCTGCGTGACTATTCTAACCAATGGTTGGAGACTCTCGGTGACATGGCTCAGAATCGATCACAATGGCATGGATGTATATACTCTCTGTCTTCTCTTATACTGCGTAATTAAAATTGCTTTATATTTTTCTTTCTGACAAATAATTTTTTCTTCCTGTACTATATCCTTATACACAATCTTTTTTCTATATATTACTACCATTGAAGTAACTACTATGAATTCGGTGTTCATCTTGTTGTGGTATTGAGGTGTGGCAACTTGGACCGATGCATTTATGTACCTGGTCATATATTGTAGCTGACTGACCGGCTGACAACTGTCATATATTTTAGTATCTTTATCTTGAAACATTTACATATCTGACTTAGACTCAGTATAAACATAATCAAAACAGAAAACATAAATTTATTCAGTATGAATACAGATGGGATATTCCATATACAACATGGTTATAAACAGTGATATGTAATATTACACGACTTTATAATAACATTAAATGCAAAACTTTATTGATATGCATACCTCAAAGCAGTAGGATGTTTTTAACGAATCGTTTCTCAGGATATGACTATTTAAAATAGGTGTGATTGGTATACACCCACCACTAAGGCAATTCCTAATATTTGTGAGTCAATTACTTTATTTAAACACTGTCTAAACTAGTGATAAACAGAAACGTGGTTATGGACCAACACATGGGATGAACAATAATTTATATTAGCCCGTTAAATCGACAGTCGAAAGAAACTACGTAAATGTTTATTTCTTTCTGTTCGGTTTCATTACATTGAAGCTATTATTATTGATGGTAACATTTCCATTTTAAGTTATTTAAATATTGCTTCCATTGTTTTATTAAAAACTATCCTGTATACACTGAGAGTCATGATCATTCGTACTTATTATGGAGGAATACTTTAAACAAAGCCTGAATAAGTGTTGCTTAGAACTCCCCAAGGATTAGACAAAAGTGTCAAAAACTACCAAAGTTAAGAAACATGAACTGCAGTATGTTTTGGTAGTTTGAAGAAGTGGATCAATAGCAAGGAAAAATGTCACAAACCTTACTAATTCAAACATATCCGATAGAACCTAAGCGACTGTGCATTGCTATTATTTACACGATAAAAACCATTATTGTAACATTTATCATAATCATTTACTGTTTACATATTTTTTTTAAAAACGATTACTATTATCGATTATTAGAATTTCAGCACGTTGGAAACTAATTGACAAACACATTCCTTAGTGCCATGGAAAGAATTAGTAATGACTTCGGAAAATTTCAAACAGTTTGTGTAATGCTGCTATTTAGTACCAATATTGGAGTGACAATTAATTACGTAAGAAATCATTATATTCCAAAAATTTGTAGATCCCAAAAACTAATGCTAAAACGGGAACTAGTAATGTGATATAGGATACAATTTTATAAATAGCTGAGTGCTAGAAAACAATATTGAAGATCAAAAGTAGCTGGAAAAGTTAAGTCAACTAATAAAATACTGAATACTACACCATCATGTTCACACTAGTTGATTAAAATGGACGGTGATTATTTGATAACAATAATATTTGGAGAAAGAAGCATAATTTTTAAACTTAGATTATCATAAGAGCATACAAATACTATAACATTTCAGTAAGTAGGCTCGGTTGATTAATCCTCGTTTAGAAGCATTTTAATGGCGTAATGAACACGTTTCTGGATTACTGGTCGCTTACATTTAGCGCTATGAAACTACTCAATTTACAAGTTTGATACAGACGAATATTTGCCTTCACAGTTGACAAGTAGCTGTACTGTGACTTAAACACAAAGTGTTACTTTAACTGAATAAACAATAAGAACGAAAATAGACTGCCAATTAAAAAAAGGTATCAACAATTTGTTAGTGATACATAAATAACTTACAACATTGAAGATTGTAGTTAGTGATCGTGCTAAAAAATAAAACGAAACACTTAAATACTTCAGGCATAGGTTGTTAAAACAGACCATTGAAACAAATATTATAGACAGTGGCAAGATCTAAAAATTAATTTATTAGTAACGGGTCACCTACATCAATCAACGTTTTAAAAGAAAAGTTCAACTGTGGAAACCTCACATGACTAGGTAACAGCAGAGCTGCATACGATGTTAAATAACATAGAAATGCTGTAACTGCACATTGAAACCAAGTAATAGATATCGGTGCATTTAGCTGATTAAGTAATTTTTGTTTACTATTAACCAGTGATGAGTACTTACCGATACAGACTTATCGCTCAATAACCATTTATTTATAAATACCAAAGAAATGGAAATAAACCTTGAAAGCATTTTTTGATTATCATAATGGAAACACAACTTACCAATATGCAGAAACAACACAAATTATTTTTTTAATCATCCCTCTCTCTTTCTTTGGTAAATACATAAATTCAATTTATCTAATGATGCTTTACTGACTAAATTTGCATCACATTCACCTTTATACACTAATAAGAGAAAATGAAAAATCATTATATAAAAAATAGTGATAGAACAGTAAAACAAAAGGGAAGTAAATTAGTCAGAGGTTTTATATTAAATAGATCGATTTGCTAGCAAACGACCATTACATTCAATTTTCATTATGTGCTGTCCAGGGATAACAACAGTGGGAAAATTTCTTAGCGAATTATCGGGTGCTGAATCAGAAGGTGCCGGATACTCTGTACACGAACTCATTACAATATTTCCAACATTATCTGTGCAGCATAAGAATCCAATATATCTTCGACCATCTGATACATCGACAGTAAGTTCTTGATCACATAAACACTTCAAGAAGTCCTTAGCTTCATCTTTGGTTTTGAATGAAGGCTCACTAAGAGTCATAAGAAGCTAAGTTAAAGAAAAAATTAACCAGTTTTAGGAGGGTTGATCAAAATTCTAAAACTGTGAAGTCTGAAAAACAAAGCATTCTCAATAATAAATTAACGATGATATAGTCGTAATAAACAAAAAGCCTTCCAAAATTGTTCATTGATCCTGATTGCAAAAAAAAATAACTGGATGATAACGAAAGTTGAAGTACTGCTATTAACTGCAGTGGAAAGCCAACGAGTATAATCCAAATTTATTATTTACTTAAACACATAAATATTGGTACAAGGAGATATCAAATATATGTGTTCGACACAAATCATTCGGCTAGTGTGAAGGTTGAGATACTGCTCAGACGCCTAAACCAAAGCAAGAATGGACGGAATGTCGCTGCCAAGGAAACAACTGGATTATAAGGAAAGTTGAAGTATTGTTATTAACTGCAATGAAAAACTAACAAATACGATTTAAAAGAAACAAACGAAACTGAGGAATAGAAGCGTGGACTAATAGTACCCTCAAAACGTAAGGAAAGATAATGAAAACAATAGTCTAGGTGAGCCACACTTCAATTACCCACGATCCCCAGTCGTCCTGAATGGTAAATTGATGTAAGTCCTCCAACCCTCTGTGAGGTTGAAAAAGCTATAGGAAATCTGAAGCGAGGGAGAGCAGCAGGCCCTGACAGGTTGACCCCTGAGATTTTTAAGGATGGTGGTCCAGTACTAGCAGTGAGATTGACTGAGGTCTTAGGTAGAATCTGGGACCTGGACGTAATTCCATCTGACTGGTCCCAATCACTGATTGTGCCAGTCTATAAGAAAGGACAAAAGTCCTCCTGTGACAATCACAGAGGGATCAGTTTGACTAATATAGTGTCCAAAATATTAGCTTCAATAATACTAGGTCGCCTAACCAAAGCTCGTGAAGAGCAGACTAGAGAAAACCAGACTGGTTTTCGACCTGGACGTGGTTGCATAGACCAGATATTCACACTACGTCAGGTCCTAGAACATAGACACACATTCAGACGTCCCACAATCGTAGTATTTCTTGACCTTAAGGCGGCATTTGACTCCGTTGATCGTGAGGTTATATGGCAGTGTTTGTCACTGAAAGGAGTACCAAAGAAGTACATTAACCTGATAAAGGCTCTCTACTCGAACACAACTGGTCGAGTTAGAGCCTATGGCGAACTGTCATCAGAACTGATTACCACAAGTGGCGTTCGTCAGGGCTGTCCACTCTCCCCATTCTTGTTTAACTTTGTCATTGACATACTTTTAGAAATAGCACTTTCATCAGCCAAACATCCAGGAGTTGAACTTATACCGGGAGATTCACTTGTTGACTTAGGATACGCCGACGACATAGTTTTACTCGGTGAAGACGCTGACAACATGCAGAGTCTTCTGACCACTATAAGCAACAATGCAGGCATGTTCGGGATGCGATTCTCTCCCTCGAAGTGCAAAATGTTACTTCAGGATTGGGTTGCATCGACACCTGAACTAATGATGGGGAGTGAAGTAGTTGAGCGTGTAGACCACTTCACTTATCTTGGGAGTCTCATTAGCCCTCGTGGTCTGGTGTGTGACGAAATCTCAGAACGGATACAGAAGGTTCGTCTAGCTTTCGCCAACTTGCGTCATTTATGGCGTAGGCGAGATATCCGTCTAGCAACCAAACGACGGGTTTACTGTGCAGCAGTCCGTTCCGTCCTACTTTATGGCAGTGAAACATGGCCAATAAGAGTAGAGGATATTCGTAGGCTTCTAGTGTTCGATCATAGGTGTCTTCGAAGCATTGCTCGTATATCCTGGGACCACCGGGTAAGTAATGCAGTTGTTAGGAAACGAGTACTAGGTAGGGATGGCAAATCGATTGATGAAGTAGTGAAACTTCATCAGTTGAGATGGCTGGGACATGTGTTACGTATGCCCGACCACCGACTGCCCCGACGTGCAATGTTTCATGGTGTAGGAGTAGGTTGGGAGAAAGCTATGGGCGGCCAGACCAAAACGTAGCACAAATCCATGAAGTCACTGACAAGTGGACTGAGCCATGTTGGTAGGTGTAGACTACCTGGTTGGGATTCACGAGATGACAGCAACCGATGGTTAGAGACCTTGAATGACATGGCTCAAAATCGTTTGCAATGGCGAAGGTGCATCCACTCTTTGTGTTCTACCAAATTCTAATATTCTGAATTCCTCATGTCTTTATCTTTTTCTCTTTCCAAATTTATTTCACTGTACTATACTCCTTCAATAATTTCTTCAAACCCTAATCTTTTGTATTCCTGATTATACTCCTACTACTTCTACCACTATGGGAATTGAATCGACAACTGCATCTCTGTGCTAATGTGGTATGGCAACTCGAACTGATGTACGTACGTACGAAGTTCTACGTTGTCTATAAGCAACTATGCAGGCATGTTCGGAATGCGATTCTCTCCCTCGAAGTGCAAAATGTTACTTCAGGATTGGGTTGCATCGACACCTGAACTAATGATAGGGAGTGAAGTAGTTGAGCGTGTAGACCACTTCACTTATCTTGGGAGTCTCATCAGCCCTTGTGGTCTGGTATGTGACGAAATCTCAGAACGGATACAGAAGGCTCGTCTAGCTTTCGCCAACTTGCGTCATTTATGGCGTAGGCGGGATATCCGTCTAGCAACCAAACGACGGGTTTACTGTGCAGCAGTTCGCTCCGTCCTACTCTATGGCAGTGAAACATGGCCAATAAGAGTAGAGGATATTCGTAGGCTTCTAGTGTTCGATCATAGGTGTCTTCGAAGCATTGCTCGTATATCCTGGGACCACCGGGTAAGTAATGCAGTTGTTAGGAAACGAGTACTAGGTAGGGATGGCAAATCGATTGATGAAGTAGTGAAACTTCATCAGTTGAGATGGCTGGGACATGTGTTACGTATGCCCGACCACCGACTGCCCCGACGTGCAATGTTTCATGGTGTAGGAGTAGGTTGGAAGAAAGCTATGGGCGGCCAGACCAAAACGTGGCAGAAATCAATGAAGTCACTGACAAGTGGACTGGGCCATGTTGGTAGGTGTAGACTACCTGGTTGGGATTCACGAGATGACAGCAACCGATGGTTAGAGACCTTGAATGACATGGCTCAAAATCGTTTGCAATGGCGAAGATGCATCCACTCTTTGTGTTCTACCAAATTCTAATATTCTGAATTCCTCGTGTCTTTATGTTTTTCTCTTTCCAAATTTATTTCACTGTACTATACTCCTTCAATAATTTCTTCAAACCCTAATCTTTTGGATTTCTGATTATACTCCTACTACTTCTACCACTATGGGATTTGAACCGACAACTGCATCTCTGTGCTAATGTGGTATGGCAACTCGAACTGATGCACGTACGTACGAAGTTCTACGTTGTGACTGACTGACTGAGTTCTACGTTGTGACTGACTAACTGACTGAGTCTAGGTGAGCCCATTTGTAGAAAATTAAAATAAAAACGAGAGAGATGAGTAGTCAATAACGTAACTCTAGTACTAGAACATGTATTGGAGAATACATTTTACATAAAAACGCAACCTAGATAGATTTCGTTAATTTAAAAATTACATCTTGTTACTTATGAAAAACCATACTACAAATAGAAAAAATCTAGTACTTTCGATGTTTTCTAGGACCGCGTTGAGAATTTTAAAATAACAGGCCATAACCAAACACAAACACATTTTATCCCAGTCATGAATAACAAGCAGACAATTTTGTATTCAACAAAATCGGCTCTTTGATTATTACGGCCAATAATAAACAATTTCGACCGACCCCAAAACCCAGCTAAGAAATAGAAGTCACGTGCATTAGTTAGTCATTTATGATGATTTCGTAGATCGCAGGTGGTTTCACAGAGACCATCATTTATTGTAGAAAGCCACTGAACATTATCAGATCGAGATTCGGTTTTATACGCGTAAGACTACATTGAAGCATTGTAAATTCCATCTTATCGGAAAGACGATTCTAATTAGTACATCGTCTTGTTTTTCCCCGAAATGGTGAGCACATTACTAAATGCACAAATTCCCAAACTATTTTCGAAGGCTGGTCGTTAAGGATATGTGGAAACAAGTTCGTTTCAATTATGCGAGTGAGAAAATTGCAAACATACGGTGTATAGGTCTTCACAAAAACCTAACACGGAGCAGATGTTTCAGAGGTTCTTCAGCACTGTGTTTCTTTGTCAAGCTGGTACCAGTGAGGATATGTATGTATTAAAGCAGTACATAGCATTTATACTTAATCAAGAAGTCTGACAGGACTATGATTTATGGAAGACCTCTGAGCAACGCTTAAAAGGCCTTGAAAGTGACCATATGGCTAAATGAGGTTTATATACCAGCGCGAGGAATAAAGATAAATATTTACAGTTGATAGGGTTAGGAGTTAGATTTAGGGTTTTCATCACGAACTGACATCAGTTATAATGACAAAACTTTATTTAACCAGATGAATTAATTAATTTCGCGCCAAAATCCAGGATTTGTTATCGTAAATCTGACTGGTTCGTTCACAAATTATAGTCTCATCAGAAGTCTTGTTATTATCATACGGTTTATTTTCCCGTTATCTCTTATTCAAGTCAGTTGTTCGGACATCAGACTTGTAGCTACTGTAAAAAATATGACAACTATGATAATTTGAAGACCTTCTTACATTAAATGTAGTCTGTACACAATATGATTTGGTATTATCGAGACAGTGGAAAACAAAACTGCTTCCTATTTATTGACTTTTAGGTAAATAAGTCCAGTTTAGCTCATGATCTGAATATTCATACTTCCAAGCTAGTTATATATGGTGCTTTCGGGTACAGTTTACAACAAAGGCGATAGGTTTACTTAATGTTGGGTTCGCCTGATGTCAGACATTTTCACTGAAAACTGAGCACAGGTTAATTTTACAATTTTAAATAAACATTATGTACAAACAAAATAATGCAAAATACACAGAACACATAATGCGTAATCAACACTGCATGAACCTGATGGACTTACACACCAGTAACAGAGTCTGCGGAATGGCCCTGAGAAGTTAAATATCCCTCATTGGCAACGCTCTATACAAAAAATTCTTCACCCTATGACAAAAAGCAGTATTGAAATACAAATTATTTTCAAGTAAATGTGAGGGATTTAGATTTGACTTTCTGTTCGCGTCATTTTAAAAAATAGGCCTCGAATGAGAGGATTTTTTGACCTCATTTTTCATCCTGACTCACGTGTTGCCCATGTAAAAATAGCCCTTCATTATATATTAGCTGAAGCACTTGAGGTAACTTGTTCGTTTTTGGCCTTGAAAAATAATTTTTATTCTTTCATGTTTCAGTTTGATGTGCATAAACTCACTTAACCTACATTGATACAAACATTCTTTTACGAAAAATATGTAAAGATATCATAAGTACTTGAAGTTGGACAACGCTTAAATCAGTAACATATTTTATAATCGAAACGTACCAACACAGTCAAATCAAAAGTCAGGAACGAAGAGTTTCGAAGACATATTTTTTTACAATATCGATATATCGAGAAGTGATCAATCCAAGCTGGCTAGTGGTTGTAGGAGATGTGAAGCACAGCGTACTCACTCGTGATCTGGTGCGAATGCGTGACCAATCACCTCAGGCCAGGTGAGGCCAGTAAAATTAATGCGGTTAGCATCAAATGTCGCAGACTTATAGAGCTATTGATTTTAAGGATTCACTTACCGCCATACTGGCACCGTCATCGTCATGTAGTACCAAGTTGCCAATTTTTAGGTTAAGAATAGAAAGAAACAATATGACCTTGATATCTAACACCGCTTAACATGAGGCGGACCACATTTTTTCTTCTGCTAGGGTCGCAAGGTGCGGTAAAGTTGATGCGCATTTTCGTCCAGTTCAACGGCAAGACCTTACACCTGACCTTAAACTGTTTTATTCCATCTCACTTACAGTGTGAAAACATAGTGCTTCCCTCCTCACCCCAATAGCATAAGGATAAGTTGGAACGTGTCCAAAGACGAGGCACGACGTTAGTTCGAGGACTCAAATCCAGACCCTATGAAGAGTGCTTCAAATCGTTGGACCTCTATCCTTCACAGTACATGCGTCTTAGAATGACATTCTAATGACTTAAAGGATCTTAAACAGTGCTGAACATCTTCTTAAACACCTGCGTGGGCTCAATCTCAACACAAACGTTGGAGGTAACATCAAGAAACTGGAGACACAACACATCAGAACGAACTTTAAACACACCTTCTACTCCGTAAGAGTAGTCATATTCAGGAATTCTCTGCCAGATGAGCTAGTTCAAATGATCTCCTAATAGCCCCTTAATTCCTTAATAAATACGATACTAAATACTTTGCTGCTTTGAAGGTAATCCAAAATGGAATACTGCCGAAAAGATGGCTGACAACCTACTTTTAAACAGTAGCATTAATTTGGCTTTCAAGTGTTGAGACTAATGAAATATGTGAAGTACGTACTTTAGTTGTATTTCACGTACTATCTGTGTTTAGGTGGTGGACGGATTAGTATAAAGTGTAAAGTGGATTTGTCATTATGTGATTTTCTAATCTGTAATATCTTACATTGAAGTCCCATTATTCTCTGCACTAACTCATCCCATCGTGATCGTCAGCAATATAAAGTTAAGCATTTCTGAAAAATACATTTGGACTAGGAAGAGAGTGATATATTTGATGCAAAAGCTAGAGGCAATGTGAACACGTCCTCATGAACGAGACATGGTATTTCGATTTAGTCTTTCCGCGTTCACTACTACCGACGTCCTCCAAGTGTTACATCTTGAGAGTCAATCTTCCCAGTAATTATACACCCAGCTCCTATAATTGTGATCAGGAATCAATACCACTATTACCTTGTCCTTTATTTTTACCTCAAATACTACATCCATTCCAGACCCATGGAACACTTTGTTTTATTTTATTTAAACACATATATATTGGTACAAAGGGCACCGGATACATATGCGCCACACAAAATAATGAAAGTAGGAAGAGAAGGGATGAAAAGATAAGGCGGTCTGAAATGTACAACCAGAAGACTCTTTCAGTTAAGAAAGTTAGAACCACTCTTTATGTAGAAAGTAAAAGAAGGTTGCAGCAGGATCGCCGCTGGCTTCTATTCTGAGCCATATCTGATAACGTCTCTAGCCACTGTGTTGCACCATCTCTCGGACCCCAGCCAGGGAGTCGTGAAGGACCAACAGAAGCTAGCCCTTTGCAGCTTTCTTTCATACCACGACACCATGTCATACACTGACCTCCTCTCCGCTTTTTCCAACCAGTTCCAGGGTCGGCAAATAATACACGACGTGGAATTCTCTGGGACGACATTCGTAAAACATGTCCAAGCCACCGAAGTCGGTGTTTCAAGATGGTGACACCAATTGAATTATCATCTCTGCGCCCGAACACACGATGCCGAACCTCTGCATTACTAACATGGTGTTGCCACTGTATGTCAGCAATCCTTCGGAGACAACGATGGTCGAACACAGAGAGACGTCTAACATCCTCAACTCGGAGAGGCCAGGTTTCACAAGCATAGAGCAAAACTGCTCTCACCGACGCGTTGTAGATCCGACCTTTTACAGCCAGACTAACATCACGAAGGCGCCAGAGATGGCCCAGATTGGCATAAGCCGCTCTGGCTTTCATTATACGTGCATCAATCTCATCACTCACGCCACCACCAGCACTTACATAGCTACCTAGATACACGAACTTCTCAACTACTTCAATCTGCTCACCATCCAGGGTGAGTACAGGATGAGAATCCTGCCAGTCTTGTAGGAGTACTTTGCACTTGGAGGGTGCAAAGCACATGCCGTACCTGCGGACACTGATTGTCAACTGATTAAGTGCTGATTGCATGCCTTGGGCATTATCGCACAGTAAGACAATATCATCCGCATACTCAAGGTCGAGAAGTCGTTCTCCAGGCAACATATCCACACCGCCATTACTTACATCCATCAGAGCTGTTTCCAGGATGTCATCGACGGCAAAGTTGAAGAAGAATGATGGAGGGTGAAGATGTGATTAATGCATCCTCGACCAGAACGAAAACCAGCCTGCTCCTCGCGAGTCAATCGTTCTCGGGTTTTAAACAACCTACGAAGAATGACAGAAGCCAATAGTTTGGACGCAATCGGAAGTAGACTTATCCCCCGATAGTTGTTACAGGAACAACGTGAACCCTTTTTAAAGATAGGGACGACTATTGACTCATTCCATGATGCTGGAACACTTTCTTGCTCCCAAACCTTTCCAAACAACACCGTCAGTTCCTTAGCCAGAAAGTCACCACCATCTTTAAAAAGAGCCGGAGGTAATTCATCTGGGCCAGGTGATTTGTAGCGCTTCAAGAGTTGGAGTTCCTTGCGGACTTCCGCCTCGTTTGGTGGATCAGTCGTCACCAGCCATGGGGGGCAGGACAAACTGGTTGTTGTTGCCGGAGCAGCAGGCCAGTTGAACTGCCCTTCGAAAAATTCCTCCCATCGTACAAGACGTCGAGAGATGTTAGTGATTGCCATCCTATCACCCTCGTAGATTGTTTCACTCACACCAGACTTCTTGCTGCCAGTGGCTCGGATGAGTTGGAAGAGCTTCCGACAGTTACCAGATGCAGCTGCTGCTTCCATCTCATTAGCACGCTCCGACCACCAGGCTTCTCGGTCCTTACGCAAGCTTTGCCAAATTTCATTACGTAACAGCCTTCGTTTGTGGTCAAACTCACGGTCACCTGGAGTAGACTGTTGATGACGGTCAATCCTTCGGCCACTGAAAAGTAAGGTAAGATTGGCGCAGACCAGGGCATGATCAGACTCCAGTTAGGTACTCCAAAAGGAGCGGCAGTCTTGTACACAACCACGCCAGCGGTAGCTGATCGCGATGTGTTCAATCTGAGTCCAGGCTTGAAATGCAGAGGGAGGACGCCAGGTGGCACACCGGCGATGACTGTGTCGGAAGTTAGTGCTATCCGGAAACAGGTTGTGGTCTGTGCACAGTTGCAGCAAACGGTCCCTGTTATCTGACCTGCGACCAACAAGTCCCCATCGGCCACCTAAACGACTCTCTTCTGTGCCTAGATGCCGACCTGTGCATTCAAGTCTCCGGCTAGTACTACAATATGTGTCGAACGCGCTTTCTGGAGAAGAACAGTTAACTGGTGGTAAAACTCATCCTTGATTGCACCCGGGCTGCAATCTGTCGAGGCATGGGCGGAGATGACGAAAAGACACCGTTTCTCACGCCGATTTCTTCTCACTTTGATGGAACTTTTTAATCTAACAGCACATAACCGACTGTTAATGGCGATCCAATCGATTAGTGCTGCCTCAGCCCTAGCGCTTAGTGCGACACCAACGCCAGCAAGACCAGACGAAGATGCCATAGAGTCCCCGGATAAGCGCACGTGGAACAAGCTTTTCGAAGCGACAGATGGAGAGCAAATTTGTAGTACTTCACTAGAATCTTGAATACGGGTACGTGGTTTCAGAAAGACGGCTTCATTATTCGTAATCGGTGGAAGCATTCACTTTCAACCAGACAATGACTGGAGATCGTTTAGATAGGACAGAGTTTCCACCATGGGCGAGCTACTGCATAAGTTGGAAAGGAAGGATACACAATTTGGGAATAAAGGGAGTGAAAAAGCGACGTAGTAAATAATAGTAATAATAATAATGTTAATAATAATGATAATGGTGATAATAATAATAATGTAAATTGTCTTTCTTCTATTAGGAACAAGAGCAGTGTAGTTAGTGTAGTGCGTTATTTCATGTCATTTGTGTGTGGGCTGTGATACTGCCCGGGTGCCCAAACCGAAGCAAGTGGTTTTCTTAGGGGGCCACACCCGGAGCCTTTGACCTAGAAGTCTAATCCACAAGGCAGTGGAGCATCGTGTGGAGATGCAGTCCCATGGTAGCCGGTGACCAACAGCAGATTCATTCGCCATTCGTTCCATCAGGATACTGGAGCCCATGTGCACCATTGGTTTGGAATCAGGGTTTTCCAACTCCCCTAGGTGGACCCTCCGTGTCCACCAACCCGGTTAAAGCGCCAGACATTCGCTTTTTGTCCTCTCACTTTCGTAAAAAACCTTAATGCCACGAGAAGGCAGTGAGTAGGACTTCCCTGGCAGAGGCTATATATTCGCTGGCCATGTGAGAGCATTTCGAGAGGGAGAGTGGACTCTCTCCACTCTCGGCCGTACCAGGGCATTTGGGGGCTTCTAATGGAACACTAGCCCTGTCTGACTTTCTAATGACACGGTATTTGTAAAAATAACGTCTGGTACATATAGATTTCGCGCCTCTATGTAGCCCTTATTCTTATGATAGAAGAAACTAGACTAGCAGTGAATAGGTCTTTATTTGGGTCGTGTAACAGTCACAGTGGAGTGAGGGATTACTTATCCAAACACACAAAGCTTTTCAACATTAAATGCAGGATAGTAGTAAATATAATGCTTAAACGAAATATGGAAGTGAATGAATACTTGAACTCTATTATTTTGACATATACTTAGTTCTTTGAGGTCAACTGTTAAACAATCAACACAAGCTGTTACAAAGCCATAAATTGGGAAAAATATCGAATCATAACCTTAATATGGTCTAACATAAAGAAAGGAGACAAGATGGCATGACGATACACTACCCCAACTAGTAATCTGCATAATAATATCTGTACAGGATTGACGAAGGAGCAGCATGTCTTTCCAAGAAGTACGGTGTACGCCATTAGCAATTCAACTTTCTGAATGGCAGACGCATATTAATGACTTTACGTGCATATCGATTCGGTTAGACAGGAAAAGCTTCATTTTGACTCTTGATTCTCTCAACCAGAAAACCTATTGGATTCGTGTATACGAGGACTGTGTGTTATATCAGGACCGAACACTGCACATAGTAGCATGCTTATCGGTATCTGTATGTTGAAGACATTTGTTCAAGTTCTTTATGATTGGGGTTAGGGCAACTGTTCAGCAACAGCGAGGTGTTTCCCCTACTTTTGTTACTTCTATGATTCAAGTTCTTGACCTCAGGTTCGGCTCATTAATTTATTAAGGTAATTTATCACATAAATATTTAGACCTCTACGCCGAGATCGAAACGTTGTCAGGTGATAAAAAATAGAATAATGAATAAAAATATAAAATATTAGGAGGATCGTTTACTTTTAGCTACACTACAATTTTTGACCATTGTTAAAAAGATATGAAACAGGTGCTAAGCAGCTTAGTGTATTTTTACAATCTCACTGATTTTTTTGCATCCATTCTTACGACTGATTTTGCACTCATACGTGTTTTCGAATTGCTGTACTCATTTGTCTGACAGGCATGTCTGAACAAATCTAGACACTGCTTTTTGATTTACGATATTTCTTATATACTTGAGAAAGGCGCCTTATATACCTGCGTGTTTGATTTTATTATGCTTCACACACATTTATTCATTCATCATCCGTTCTGCCTGTCTGACCTATTGATTGAAAGAAGAATGTGCTTTAAATAAAAGTTATCGGACAATTCTTCCTGTCATGATATGACTACTAGTACACCGGTAGTTGTGTTTAACCCGGTAATCAGGGAGAAGTGAATTCGGTTGATTTAGTAACAAGGACCATACAGTCGAATAAAGAGGCAGACTCTTCAACAACAGCCTACTCTGGTGATGAAAACTAGTTTGAATTTGACCTACTGATAAAGCATACCTTAATATCAAAGATGACAGATTGAGACTTGATATTTACTTGGTTAAAACGGGTTCCGTTTTTTTTACTGGACATGATTTAGTTGTCGGTTACTAGTGATTGATATGTTGTAGATCTCGAAATAAAACGTTAGAAACAAATTGGACCTTTATCACTATATTTTAATTTATAGACTTCACCCCACCCAGTATTTACTATCCAGTGAATGTACAATTTATTGGTGATATATTATTTACATCTTCATGCTTTCTGGATAGTAATATTTGTTGTGAAAATAGTTTCTCTCTACTGAGCTCAGTTTTTGGAGGATCTGAATAATCTAGAGTTTCAGTAGCAAAATATCTGTTCAAACACAGTAAACCTACTGCATAACATTCGACACTTAGATCGTTTCATTGCAAAAAATATGCTTTGTTGGTCTTCTGAGTCATTCGTTCTCCTGCTAGCTTTTTACCATTACTACAACATAGTCTTTACAGCTCATAACCACGGAACTTTTGCCCAAGCTTTGATCAACGGCGGCCTGTTTAAGCATCTGGGCTACCTGTTCCTGTCATCTAGATACTTCAACAAGTTATCTAATTTCGTTTGTTTTGATACATCATTATGCCTATTAATCGCACAGCCTATTCAGGTGCGTTTCTGAAAAGTGTAAGACCTTTCGCTGTAAAGGTTACAGAAGGCCTTATCAGAGATAGTGTGGTTGCTGGCTATATGCAGCGAGAAGAATGTACATTATACAGATGTCGATTGACTGGGCTGCTAACTTCTAACTGGCGATCACTCAATATTTATCGTCAGGAAGGACGAAGGAGTAAGAAGCGGAAACTTGTTGAAGTACTTTGTGCTGAGAATTCAATATTGTACCAAAAATATAATATTGAATAAATGTAATAATAATAATATATTTCATATAATCGCCCGTCAATGTTGAAGTATTGCCAAACGCTTTCTTCTCAATAATTTATGACAAACTTAACTTACTATGGAGTTTTCTATCTTTAGATGGTATACCCCATTAACATTCTCTTGTAAAATTTCACTGACATGCTGACTTATTCTTCTTGATAGTCTTAACAGCAGAATGTCTCATGTGTAAATCCATATCATACATTGGTGGTCATGTTTGTGAGAGTGTTGTTTAGATCCTTGATCAGAGAACAATTATTGTAATCACACTGTGTAAAGTTTTAGGTTTTGTAACAGATCCTCAGAGTGGCATAACTTGCAAGGAGGCATAAAAGTGTAGCGGTGAATAAGTCCCCAAAATCAATAGCTCTGTAAGTCTGCGACATTTGATGCTAACCGCATTAATTTTACTGGCCTCACCTAGCCTGAGGTGATTGGTCATGCAAGGTCACTGAATATCGAACAGATCATTGAGCCCTGTCAAGGTCAAGGATAGTCAATGCGCATCAATCAATTACACGCCATGGATTGGCCCACGCGGCAGTGGTCGTACTTTCGCTTCTGTACTTTCGTGGTTGTACCTTAACTAATATATTCTTGTAATAACGTCTTTTGTGTTGTACAGTCTCCATAGCGTCCATAGTCCCCTATTACGTCGATGGGGGCAATCCACGTAAGATGCTGGTAGCGAGGTGTCACTTCAGCGTTAGTTGGTTCGTCACCATTCTCGTCTAACTCTAGTAAGCCCCTCCAATCATTTCGACATAGACCATCAACGTAGATGATATTACAATGCTAACCGCATTAATTTTACTGGCCTCACCTGGCCTGAGGTGATTGGTCACGCATTCGCACCAGATCACGAGTGAGTACGCTGTGCTTTACATCTCCTACAACCACTAGCCAGCTTGGATTGATCACTTCTCGATATATCGATATTGTAAAAAAAATATGTCTTCGAAACTCTTCGTTCCTGACTTTTGATTTGACTGTGTTGGTACGTTTCGATTATAAAATATGTTACTGATTTAAGCGTTGTCAGTGAAGATACGACCGGTATTGTAGTTTTGCAACTATAAACCAATAACACCTATATTCGAATCTTCCCCCAATCGTTTAAAATCAAAAGTCAGATGCAAAGAGATTGTAAAGATATATTCCATGCGTTATCAATATATCGAGAACCGTTTGCTCTAATCTGGCTAGTGAACGTAGGAGCTGTATCCCACGCTGGGTCGTAACGTGATCTGGTGCGGATGTATGATCGAAAGCCTTCAGTCAAACAAGTCCACTTAAAACAATATGGTCAACATTCAATATCGAGCGCTTCGAAAGCCACCGATTTTAGGGAATTATTTACAGCTACGGATCACACACCCCCTAGTGAGGTAGTGATGACCCTATGACGTGTCCAGCCAGAAGTTTACACCTAATGAGTTTGTCGTTGGTAAACACTCCTCTGACAGCTTGCTATGTTCAGCAGCGTCTGGTCGTCTTTCCTTACACTAAGGGACCATGAAGTACAACACAGTAATAAGTAAACAAAGTACAATGAAAATTTTGATTCCTTGTGAAACTTCGTCGTTCTTTTCCAGCCATCCTGGAAAAGAAAAAAACAAAACGTTTGAGTGCATATCGAAAATACACTCGTACTTGCGTAAGAACACAAGGTGAGCGGAAATAAAAGTAAATAAACTAATACGCTTGTGACAGCGTAAAAGCGATTGTAAAAAAATTTGTTTTTCTAATTTTTTTATATAAAAAAGATATATATACGCTCATAAGTGAAAAACATTGTTTTTTTGGAATGAATATATAAAAATGAGCATATTAAAAAACTTTTTTTATAATAAAGGATGCGAAGGGAATTCGAGGTAAAGTTTGTGTCCTACGTGAAATAGTCGTTTAAGTGTTCTGGAAATCCCACTCTTCTTCCAGAACGTGCTGTCTTAGGTTTATTTTCCGACGTTGACGAAGTATCAATGTGTGTGTCGTTTGTCGTGTGGGGTACTACCAGTGTAGGAGCCGTGTCGTTCGAATGTATCGAAGGAAGATCGACGTAGCTAGGGTTTCCTTCTAAGTACACTGCTCTGAGTCGATCGATAATGATGCTATCGTTCGTGCCGTTCTTATCGACTACATAGCACTTAGGTTCACGTTGAAGAACTTTGAAGGGTCCTTCGTATGCTGATTCGAGAGGTCGTCAATGTGAATCTCGACGAACGAAGACGTGTGTACTATGTCGTAATTCTGGTTGAATGAAAACATCAGTTGGTTGCCGTTGAGTGTGAACAGGTTTAACTGAACGCATTGCGTTTGTAAGCCTGCTCGTGTAAGAGTTTAGATCCATGTTCAATGAAGAAGCCGAAGGATCTACGAATTCTCCTGGAAGTCGGTGTCGTTCCATAAACGAGTTGAGCTGTAGTGTATCCAAAGTCAGCTTTCACTGCATTGCGGATTCCTAGTAAGACGAGTGGAAGAGTGTCTGTCCACTGTTAAAAGTGTGCAATTGCTTAATTGTGGTCGGTTCTGGGTAATCCAAAATGGCCGCTACTTTGCTTCTAAGGGGCCGGATGCCTTGAGCATTAATGGCGTGTCCTAAGAGGTCTAAGGAGTTAGTTCCGATTTGGCATTTCTGAATGTTGACAGTAATGCCATGCCTTTGTAGTCATTCGAAAACAATGTCCGGATGCTGGAGATGTGATTCTCTGTTCGTACTTGCTATTAAACAGTCATCAACATACGCATGCACGAAGTTGAGACCTCAGAAGACGTCGTCCATGAACCTTTGGAAGGTTTGGGCGGCATTTCTTAAGCCGAAAGGCATTCGTGAGAATTAGTAGAGGCCAAAAGGAGTTATGACTGCGGCTTTAGGAATGTCGTCAGTTGCCATAGGAATTTGGTTATAAGCCTTAACCAAGTCGATTTTCGAAAACACAGTTGTACCCATCAAGGTAGCTATCATATCGTGAATATGAGGCAGCGAGTAACGATCGGGAATGGTTTAAGCATTCAGACGTCGATAATCAACGGTTGGACGCCAATCACTGCTGTCCTTTTTAGGGATCATGTGCAAGGGAGATGAATATGGGCTATTCGACGGTCGAATTATTCCTAAGTCTATCATGTGGTCGAATTCGTTTTTAGCTAACCTAAGCTTTTCAGGAGCCAGTCGGCATGCTTTTGAGAATACAAGTGGTCTTGTAGTCGAGACGTGTAACATTGATGGTTACACTCGGCGATTTCGGTCGCGCTTGATACCTCAGAGTACCTATCCTGTAGCGGTTGACATAATGAGTCTATGGCGTGCTTAATTGTGACTGGGTATAATCTGCAAACAGAAAGTGGAGTTACGCAAACAGGTAACTCAGTGTTTCCGTCTATTAACCTTCGTTGCGTGTGTCGATGAGTAGATTGTGGTATTGTAGCAGGTCTATACCAATGATTGGCATAGAAACATCTGCAACCACGAAAATCCAGTGAATGGGTTTGCGTAAACCCACGTTAAGGTAAACGTACCTTTTACCATACGTAGCGATCGGTTTTCCATTCGCCACCTGTAAGCTTAAAACAGACTCGTGAAGTCTGTCGTTGGAATCTGCAGGAAGAACGCTAACTTCTGTGCCTGTACCAACGAGGTAGCGGACTTTTGCAGTCACATCAGTGACATAAAAGACGGCTGTGTTCACCGGCTACGGTTGCCGTTAACGCGTACCGACTGGGATGTTTCCCGAGTTCTTATGTGTCAGTCAACCTAGAGTTCGGGTAAATGCAGGGTCTCCTGCAATGTTTAGGAGGCTTACCATGCTGGTTATGATACCAGCACCAGTCGGGGTTGTCCGTCTCTCGTGGTCAAGATATGGTCGAGTATGCTTTTCTTGACAACACTGCTGTCCTTAACACCTTCATAATCGAGTATCCCAAAGCCAGTCAAACTAGAAGTCAGGGATAAGGGATTTTGGAAATATACTTGAAAGATAGTCGATGTATCGAGAATTGCCTGATCTAAGCTGACTGGTTTTGAAAGGGATGCTCTTCATCGAGTTTATATAGACTTTGTAGGTCCAACTGAATTCAGAATTTATACAGATGGAGAGAATTGATCTCGAGTCAGGTTCAACGAAAAACATTCAAATATATAAACCAGTGTTTACTTAAGATTTTCTAACTAGTTTTGTTTGAACTAGTCGTTGTTGAATAATCCTGTTCTGGTCATTTCTCGGGAGCGTATTTTCGTAAGCATGAATCCGGAGAAGGTTGCGTTACTTAAGCAATTTGTTGATCTACTGAAAGAGAAGCCTGAAGTCCTTAATACCCCTGAACTGTCGTTCTTCAAAGACTGGCTCAAAAGGTAGATTTTCGGTTTTGTTTTTACTTGTAAACAGTCTTGGGGCTAATGTTCCTGTTTCACAAGACAACCGACCCACTGAAAATTCATTCTCAGACGACTCTGGTGCAGATGAGACCTCGGAATCTGAAATAGGTAAGTGTTAATGGTAATTTTGACCACTTATTAGAGTTTGATGATGAAGTGCTACCAAAGGAACCTGTCCCGGACCTAGCTATGGGTGACGATTCGATAGAAGTGACTGATGAAATGAGAGAAAAAGCAGAAGGAAAGAAATGTGAAGCAATGGCCAAAATGTCTGATGGGGATCTTACTGGGGCTGTTGACCTGTTTACAGAAGCAATTAAGCTAAACCCACAGTCCTCACTGTTTCATGCCCGACGTGCAAGGTAAATACCATTGTATCTAGCAATTCCACAGTTGCTTTGTACGAATGAAAAAGCCGTCCCATGCTATTGCAGATTGTGATAAGGCTATTTCGTTAAACCCCGATTCTGCACAACCTTACAAATGGAGAGGATTTGCTAATAAGTATGTTCTTATTTTAAATGCTTATAGCCTACAGAATGATAGGCAATTGGGAAGCCGCCTATCAGGATCTACAGACATCTTTGAAGCTAGACTACACAGATGATGCCAATGAAGCAATAAAGGAAATCGAACCAAAGGTAATTCATCGTAATTGGATACTTATAGGTACGCATATCACTAATGTTTTTACTCATGAACTGCTTCGTGAGACGTAAAAATTATCACTGTTTACAATGAAATGAGCATTAGTCTAGTACGCTAATAAATATCTAGTCGCCAAAGTGATTTAAAATGGGTTGTGTCGATAAGTTTTAAATATTCATTTCCCTCAGTGTAGCAGGTTACCTTGTTAGTATGCGAAGATCCAAGTGTACTTAGTATGTTCATTGTTTTCAGGAACCCATGATCTTTTGTTGATATTGCTAATTCATACACTGATCTGACTGTCTAGTGAAAAACGAATGTAATTTAGACGTAGACTCATTATATTTTTGTCCTCAACCCATATTTGAGTTGCTAAATAAATATTGTGAACTTGGAAAGCTCAGCAGATGAATAAGCACCAAGCCCCAGTATATCAACCTTAGACGTTCTGGGAATTCAAGGGTCAATGCGACTACACCCTGCCTAACTTGGCCTCTTGTCATCCGGGTTGACTAAAAAGCCGTCCTGTTCTGGTAACAAATCAATTTCAGGCGTTCCTCTTGACTTTCCATTAAGTCGTCAGAAGTAGTGTTTATCATCCCTACGACTTCGCCTGTAAATTTCATCAGCACGCGTACCTGCACTCTGATTGATTTTCGTAGAGTTTATCTTTCTTGCATGTAAGTGATGTGATTTTGGCATGAAGGTAGATACATACCGCTCTATTACGTCTTGGTTATTGAACACATTTAAAAGCTCGAAAATATCTTACTGGATCCACATGGGTTAGTCGTTAGTGGTGATGTCATGTGAATAACACTAAGAGCAGCTGTAATGTAGCATTAAAACAGCCGTCCGATTACTGAGTCTTCAAACTTACATCACTGAGATCCTTAAAACATTTTCATAGCTATAATCCGTCGTCTGGCAACGATTGGGGTACCCGACCCATTTTGTGACATGACAGGTTGTGGCGTCAGCAAGATGCACGTTTTTGATCTGACTGTTAGGGTAATTGTCACTTCACGGTACTTAACAAAATGTCAAAAATCGACTGATAAAATGGTTGTGTTCATTTCCTTACATGCTGGCCGCAATCTGTCGTTTTACTCGTCTTTAAAATGTATTCTCTACATTTAGTCCACCACTCCGTCGTGTTGCTTTTAAATGTCTGGATTGTAGTCTTGATGATGTGATGTGCAGCAGTCGAATTATTAAAGGACAATCACTTTTACCCACATGTTTGTTACAGTTATTTTGGTATTATTTTCCGAACAGCACAAACGAATCTTCGAACATAACATGAAGTATGAGCGTAAACGACAAGAAAAGCTAGAACGAGAAAGACGCGAACGTATTCGAAAAGCACAAGAGGAGCGTGAACGAGCCCAGAGAGTAGGTCAACTTGTTTTGTTTGTAATTAATAAAAAGATCCTGTGCATAGATTAATTTTTCAGTGAGCTGTTTTAATGCCTGAGAGTAAACTACTATGAGCAAGAAATCTTGTTTCTGTAGTGTGTACCATTCTCCATTCATAAGTATTTACTCCCAAGTTTGTCATAGCATATTTAAATGTCTTCACGCAAACGTTCATTGATTTCATTATCTGCTGAAGTTAACATTTTTAGAAAAGAATAAAGTTAGTTCGACTTGAACTTAAGTCATACTAAATACAAAGCGTATGAACTAGGTCACTTTGAATTCCTTATGTTCAAAAATGAAAATCAGTTGCAGTGGTTATCTTAAAACCACTGTTCTAATTTATCGGGTCTCTTATAAAAGTTAAACTGCTCTATTTTTTTAAATCTTGGAATTAGTGTTCTTTGCTAATACCGATGTAACATTGATGTTTCGTACTCTATCATAATTATTGGCTAAATCTGCTTGTTTGCCACAGCTTTCAATTTTCTCATTTTTTTCATAAATAGGATACAGAAAAACCCGATTTTGACATTCCAGATAGCGGTAACATTCCAGGCATGAACAATATGTTTTCACAACTGTTCAATGATCCAGAATTGATGTCTGCTATTCAGGTACGTATCATTTTGTCTTTAAACTCATTCAGCATAGCGCTTTCTCGTGTTTTTGAGATTCTCACTTATAATTTGTAGCCTAGTAGATAACCTGTTAACGTATGACGTGATAATACCGCCAATTAGAGAGCAGTGAATTGGAACAGTGACACGAAAACCGTACAAGCAGTCTAGAGTACTTGTCGGTCCTGCTTCTGTCTAGCCCAGCCAGTTAAGCCAGAATATCCTCTACCGTATGAATCATTATAATTCAAACATTGAGTTTATATACCAATCAAACTGACCACATCGTACCATAAAATGGAAAATAACATGTGTACACGATTTAGCCGAATGGGGCTGTGAATGTGGGAGGCAGTAATTAATAGACTACGGATAACTCAAGAATGGTAAATCGTATAATAATAGTCTATATGTCAAAATAAAGCTTATAATAAGGGAAACACGAATATGAATAATTTAGTTATTTAGCAATTATACGATAAAAAGTATATGCACAGTATTAGTTCATAAATAGATCCCAAAGTTACCATTCATTATCTTTATTGGGGCATAACAGTCATTAAGTTTTGTGACTGAAGTAGGACCATTTAGGACCTAACCTGTATTTTAGGGACTACCAAATATCGTCAGTCTGATTTATCTAACTGATAAATTCCTAATGGTTATACATAGAATTTGTAATTTTTTTTAGTCCTCGGTGGTATGAAGAAACTAGCAAAACAATTCGGGATAGTATTACAGTTCTAGTAGCTTAATTATAAACAGCAAAGTAAATTAATCTACGGTACTTACTATCCCATCCATAAATATTGTTGTCCTTATTATCTAATAATAATGATATTAGGTCACTAATTTGTTTGTTTCATAGCTCGCTGATAGCAGATCTTTAATTCCGAGCAATATCATTACAAGTTATATTTGACTTCTGTGCAATTAAAGGTCTATAAAAGTGCTCCAAGCATAACTTCCTACTTTTAGGTTTAATAATAAGTTCAGCTCTGTTAAAATTTGATCCATGTACTTAAAGGTTTCTAGTGTATAACTCACAAAGCTGTGTTTGCTCCATCCTTAATTAATCGCATACCTTTTTTAGGACCCGGAAGTAATGAAAGCATTTAGCGAAGTATGTTCAAACCCGGCTGCCATGGATAAGTACAAAAACAACCCCAAGGTAATGAAGGTCATTGAGAAGATGAAGAATAGATTTAGTGGTGGTGGTATGCCCGGTAAGTCAACCATACCAACAGATTATTATTCAAATATTGTATATAAACTTATATACACTTTATTGTGGTTTACATAGTGCACTTTCTTTTAGATGTATCAGTTGACGGATTTACAATTAGCATAGGTAATCATCACTAAAGCTACTAAACAGCTATGAAATGCAGGCTTGATTTATTTAGATTAGGGAAAAATCTGTTCATCAGAAAAATTACATCAAGTGTTTTACACTCACCACTAACATTATGCATAACAGGAATGACCTGTTATTGAGCCTACACCTGTGAACAATCACTAGCTTCCGAACGCGCAACTGTGATGTTTCCTATCATCAAGGCAAATACTACGCAAACAAAAACGAAATGTTAGACAAACGAATTGACGTATCAGTTTCATGATATCAGTTATTAAGTTTCCTTCGTGGTTTCTTCCTCCACGTTCAGTACTGTAAGGCAGACGTTCAAGTATAAAACTTGTCTAATAAGACCTTTTCCGAAGTATTTTTGATACCGAGTTCCAGCTACATGATTGTGAAAAATACTGCAACTTGTAGAAATGGTTCAGTTATATTTGCATCAGTCTACAGACCGATGCATATGCTACGAGTTTGCACTCAACTCTACTGAATTGGTGAGTTATGCTTCTAAAATTGACACAGTTCAACAACGCTATTTCAAAGGTTCTGATGACTGTTAGTCGGGCTACATTTCATTGGAGTGTAAACATTTAGTTATTCATTTTATTAATGACTTGTCAGTCTACCTTTCGCTTACTCATCTATCTATGTCCGAAGTAAACAACAAAATAAAACCTGTCTATTTTATCAAACATATTTATAAATACAGTTTGCTTCGTAGTGTAAATTCCTCATGTATTTTATGTGGATAAATTTGTAGGAGGTATGCCTTTCGGAATGGGTGGGGCCGGGTTCAATATGCCTAACCAGTCATGTCCAGGTAAGGTGTCATAAAAAATAATCTGTTACTGTGTCATTTAGATCTAGACTAGGTAAAGAACCATTGATTTCAGTTGATTGGTGATTTCATTTAAATGCACTTAATCCATTGTCATTTTCGTACATATGAATAAAAGCTTCCAGACTGTTTTCTTTCCTTCTACAATAACTGTTTTGGGTTCACTAATTCTCAATAGAGAGGAAGGGTTTTCGTCAACTTCTAGAAAATTAGCCATGAAATAACTCATTCTGTTTCACGTTATACTATTGCAGTCATGATAAATTGCTTCATAAGTAGATTATTCTGTGACTTTTAGAATGAAAATTGAATAGCGCCACACCGTGATTATGTTGCTCTTAAATCTTCAGTAACTTGACTTGCAGTCAGTATTCAAGTTTAAGTTATATTGTAACGCCATATATCAGGTGTATAAATACTTTTTATCCGGATCGACAATATCTGTGACAAACTGGTTTGCACAAGTTGGGCAACTCCAGATATCTGGCTTATGAAATAAATCCGTATTAAAAACTGACGGGAACACTTATGGCCCGCAAATGCTGAGAGTGAAGAAAGTCAGCTCTCTCGGAATGCTCTCACATGGTCACGCATATAACCACTGCCAGGGAAATCTTACTCACTCGTCGTCTCTGCCTACTCTCCCACTGACTGCAGCTCAGATGATATAAAAGATTAATTTTTCAGAAAGCTTTGCTCTCTGATGTAGTAATAGTGGCTGATGATATTAATGCTCAAGTAGATAAACTAAGCGAAAGGGAAAGACACCTGGGTGGATCTTATGGTATCGTGGTCAAAAGAATAGATAATGGAGACCGTCTGTTGCAGCTATGATCAGATAACAGACCTGTTTCTTGCAAATACTAACTTTAAACACAAGAAAAATTATCCTTTGATATGGTGACCCCCAAAATTTTCCCAATGTTGGACCCAGCTAGATCACATCGCTATCAGCCACCGATAGAGGGGCTCGATAGAAGACTCGCTCATTCTGGAGCACATGTTTAGATTCCGACCATGCTCTTGTGCGAGCACGTATCTGCCTGCGTCTTACTGGACATGGGAAAGACTTTGCAAGGAAACCTCTTGGGGTTCTACTTAATCATAAACAAGCTTAGAATATATTTCAGGAAAAACAGGAAGTCATGTAAGTTGTGCTCATCCCAAGGCAGCGTGGAATGACATCCGAAAAGCTTTGGAAACAGCTGTGATGTCTGCTAATACGTTAAACCATAAGGTTAGGGAGAAACACTGAATATATTCATTCTCAATCCGTAAGATTGGATTGATGGGCAGAACACTTAAGGGGTCAGTTCAACTGGCCTTCAGTCACACTTCGGTTTCCCACGATTCCCAGTCGACCTGAATGGGGAGTTAATGTAAATCCACCAAATCTATACAAGGTTGAAAATGCTATAGGAATTCTAAAGTATGGGAGAGCAGCAGGCCCCCTTAGGTTCACTCCTGAGATTCTTAAGGATGGCGGTCCAGTACTAGCAGCGAGATTGACTGAGTTCTTAAGTAGAATCTGGGAACTGGACTTAATTCCATCTGACTGGTCCCAATCACTGATCGTGCCAGTCTACAAGAATAAATAAAAGAGATCCGTATGTAAAAGAAACAGCTGTTTAATCCTCCTTGGTTTTAATGGTACCTCCAATAGAATGAATCTGTAACAAACATTATTAACTAATTAAATCGTTCCCCATAAAAGCCCTTTAATAATTAATATTGCCATACTATCGATTATAGTAAATTTACACTTAAATGTAAACTATACAAATCTGGACGTAATTCCATCTAACTCGTCCCAATCACTGATTGTACTAGTCTATAAGAAGGGACAAAAGTCCTCTTGTGAAAATAACAGAGGAATCAGTCTGACTAATATAGTGTCTAAAATGTTAGCTTCAATAATACATCGACGCTTAACCAAAGCTCGTGAAGAGCAGACTAGAGAAAACCAGACTGGTTTTCGACCTGGACGTGGTTGCATAGACCAGATATTCACTCGACGTCAGGTCCTAAAACATAGACACACATGCGGACGTCCCACAATCGTAGTACTTCTCGACATTGAGGAGACATTTGACTCGGTTGATCGTGGGGTACTATGGCAGTGTTTGTCACTGAAAGGAGTACCAAAGAAGTACATTAACCTGATAAAGGCTCTCTACTCGAACACAACTGGTCGAGTTAGAGCCTATGGCGAACTGTCATCAGAATTGGTTACCTCAAGTGGTGTTCGTCAGGGCTGTCCACTCTCCCCATTCTTGTTTAACTTTGTGAAGTAGTTGAGCGTGTTGACTGCTACACTTATCTTGGGAGTCTCATCAGCCCTTGTGGTCTGGTGTGTGACGAAACCTCAGCACGGATACAGAAGGTTCGTCTAGCTTTTGCCAACTTGCGCCATTTATGGCGTAGGCGAGATATCCGTCTAGCAACCAAACGACGGGTTTACTGTGCAGCAGTCCGTTCCGTCCTACTTTATGGCAGTGAAACATGGCCAATAAGAGTAGAGGATAATCATCGGCTACTAGTATTTGATCACAGGTGTCTTCGAAGCATTGCTCGTATATCCTGGGACCACCGAGTAAGTAATGCAGTTGTTAGGAAACGGGTACTAGGTTAGAATGGCAAATCGATTGATGAAGTAGTGAAACTTCATCAGTTGAGATGGCTGGGACACGTGTTACGTATACCCTACCACGACGTGCAGTGATTTATAGTGTGGGAGAAAGCTGGGGGTGGCCAGACCAAAACGTGGCACAAATCCATGAAGTCACTGACAATTGGACTGAGCCATGTTGGTGGGTGTATACTACCTGGTTGGGATTCGCGAGATGATAGCAACCGATGGTTAGAGACCTTGAATGACTTGGCTCAAAATCGTTTGCAATGGCGAAGGTGCATCCACTCTTTGTGTTCTACCAAATTCTAATCTTCTGAATTCTTCATGTCTCTATCTTTTTCTCTTTCCAAATTTATTTCACTGGATTGTACTCCTTGAATAACATCTTCAAACTTTTTTCTTTCGGATTACTCCTACTACTTCTACCACTATAGGATTTGAATCGACAACTGCCTCTCTGTGATAATATGGTATGTTCGTAGGTACGAAGTTCTACTTTGTTACTGACTGCTTTCTCGTGCCTGTGGTGTTGTTTACGAAATTGAGAGGACGAAAAGCGAAGTTCCGGCGCTTTAACGGGGTATGTGTACAAGGAGAGTATCTACTGGAGTTGAAACACCTCGATTCCGAACCAATGGTTCACATGAACTCCAGGATCTTGAAGGGACAAATGGCGTACGAACCAGTGGTTGTTCATCGGCTACCATGGGACTGCATCTCCTGACGTTGCTGCACTGCCTTGTGGATTATACCTTTATTTCAAAGGCTCGGGGTTCGGCCCTCTAAGAAAAACACCTGCTTCCGTTCGTGCACCCGGCAGTATCCTAACTTTCACACAAATCGAATGATTTATGTGGCTCATATCTGTTTGATGCTTCCTTGTACCAATGCTTATGTGTGTTGTGGGTGATGCTTACGTGCGCCTGAGGTGGATCTCATAGTATGTTGAAATGCCTCCCTAAAGGGTTGGCTTATGTGCGAACGGTAACCAATGTGTTAGTCACTACATATTGACCTGTTTCTCACGTACGTTCGTATGCTTTGTATAACACTCGTCTAGTGTCTGATTCTCTTCCACATACAGGTGTACCGTTGCCAAACGATTGGGACTTATGCACCCAACCAAATTAGATTCGGAACATTTATGATTATTTACGACTGCTCTTGCTGAAATCTGAGCATTCAAGATAAGCGTTTGGCTTCTGTTTAACGAAGTTCATTTCACCGGATTGTCAGCATTAATGTAGTGTGAAAAATAAACTTATGCCGTAATATAGTAAACCCATTTTCTGATTGATTGCTCCCCTATTATAAAAGCAATGTAACTACCAGAAGTAATCGTACTTTGAAAACCACCGGTAGAATTCGTGGTGAAATGAATCGTCAGGAACGGTCTGAATCCGTATTGATACGCCCATTATTCGTACCACAAATCTGCACTAGATATTTGTATAACAAACGCTAAATACAGTGATATGTCGTTAAATATTGGTTCAGTTCGTGGTCAAATACATGTTGGATGATAAAAATTTGTAGATGAAGTGGTTTTTTTAGTGGTATGTGATTTAATGACGAACTTTTTATTATCTCCCTGAGCTCGGCCAGCGCACCATCATTATGTGTAGGTTTATTAACTATGGGCAAGCCACTGATGCTTTAATTAGCTGTCTCGATAATGAGTGACCTTGTCAGTTTAGAAATCAATGTGTTGTGTCCAATAATATGAACAAATACAAACTTAATTCATGTTTATTTAAATTATCTCAAACCAACCTAGAGCAACATCAGGCCAAATTTCTAGTTATTAAAATCAATAGAGATCATGAGATAAAGAAGTCATTTAAGATGAATATCTAGTAACATACATTAATCTACTTGCTTCACCATCTTTGCATTGAAGTCGATTTACGACTGATATTATGTGAATGGACGATATAAGATGTGTTAGTTCTAGTAAGGCGATAGCATCAAAAACAGTTAAAGTTTTCAGATTGACCCGTGTAGCGCTTAAAAGCGATTAGATTACGTGGTATTAGTCGCGTATCCCTTGTTCAATCGACATCGAGCTCAATACTTCATGATTCCAATCAAATAACATCTAGACAGTGTCCCGTCAATTAACTCATGGTCGTTAAAATGTGATATAATTAGCTTGAGTCCTGTTTTTGATCATAATGTCTTCTCTGTTAACAAACCTCAGTGATGTATCTCTCTAAAATTACTACAATAGAAAGTAGTTTTCACCACAAGTCGGCCGCAATAGAAGAACTATTGGAAAGCAAAAGGCGCTGGGTGGCGAATATTTGTAACTTTAGATGATGTAAATTACACGAATTAGATGATTCCGTTTTTAAGTCATTAAAATAAATCGTCCCTTTAGTTAAATTTAATAGTTTGATCAATAATTTGTTAATCATACTTGATTATCTAGTTCATGTATAATGAACTCCAAGTCTTTCAAAATAAATTTTACCATTTATTATCTGTGATATAACATAACGAATACATAAATTGTGAAAGAACGCGGAATAATAATGAATATTTGTGTTAAAATTATAAAGCTCCTACCTATGTTATTTGCTATATCCAGTCAGTGATTTTCAGTATTTCAAGTAACATGTCAATAAATATATGTAGGGCTAGTAGCCTATGGTCAGATTTCATGTTCTAGTTTAGCAATTACCATGAATGTACTAGCACTTATTTCCCAGATTAACTTATTGTCTTTCAAAAAAGGATTTAAACGTAAGACTTGATGAGTACGTTCGACGAAATTTCATTAATAAGGCAGTATATTCATTTGCTTACAATTCAGTTTTGGGATTAGTTATGTTATTATTTCATAAAATGCAATCTAGACTTATGTGGTGGCACAGACTAACCTTCTATAATATTCATTTGTGAAGTTTCGTGTTGTTCAGCTATAGATAGGTGGGATTGAATTTCGATTAGTCTTCTTGGCAATATGTACGTTCTGAGCAGATGCCTCAACTTTGTGTTTACTGAACTTGTGCAGTATTTATTATAAGCGAGGCGTTGTATCATTGCCAAGGTTATCGTAAGTGCCCAAGTATTAGATTTAAGTTAGGCAATAGCTTTCAAGTAATTAGGATTTATAAGGTTAACATAATCCTAAGAACTGGAACATAAGCCAGTAATTTAAAATAACTTGTAAAATTAAGATAGGGTTCTGACAGTGCGGTAAAATATAACTGGATACGTTTTTTTATACACAAAAGTCAGGCTTCTGAACCAAACTTCCCTCCTTTGAAAGCGGTTGTCCTGACCTTATAAATGATCTCAAGTGATTTCAACAGCTGTGAGAAGTCGGAACCAATCAGGTGTTCAATGATGAAACTCATTTGAGTACCATTCACTTGCAAGCAGCCAAACAAGATGGTGCTTCGGTAAACGCTTGGGATAGTTATTTCCACTTAGCATAGATCTTTGTCATGTGGACCATTATTTCTACACTTCAAATTGTTTTCACGTTATGACCTCATTACTTTTCTTCCCGAACTGCTTTTACTTTACTCAATGACACATTGCTCCCCTTTTGTCGTTCTTAATTCGTCATATTATTTAATCAAAATAACAATGTGTTTTTACATTATAGCTAAATGCACTAAAAGATTATGCAGATGAACTACTCAATTTATATATTCCTAATTCACTCTTCTCATAGGGATATTTAACGAAAATACAGTCTACTTTTTTCGCAAATAACACCTCTATATTTACAAAAGCATCTAAACCTGTAGTACCGTGCTTCGTTAATCGTTCACCTTGATAACCGTTATAATTCCAATCTTAACGGTGCGTAAAATCAGAAAGCAAAGAAAAGCGGCAACTACAGTTTATTGTCAAATAACTCAGGCCAGAAAGCTAACAACACCTAAGCGAATATCAGCGAGCAGCAAGCAATTACATAGGCAATTTTTAGTCAAATTGAATAAGAGCACAGCAAAGCAAAACAAAAGTTGATAATAGGATTTGCGTACGTGCATATATGGGGAGGAGGATGAGTCATCGAAGCAATCAACATTTTGGCTGGAGTGTCGTGTACTCTAGCGGTCATAACATTAAAAAATATGCAAATTTCTACTATCCAAATGACGATATATGTTAAGTATGTTATTAAAACGGCTTAACCATAATCGAAATTGATTGTAAGATGGTTGCTATAACCCGTTTGTCATATATCTTGAGAATAAAATTGGCATCGCTTCTGTTTTGAAACTTTTCTCAAGTCAACTAAAGGTGTTTTATAAAATATTTGTTTACTCTTTCAAGTGGTATTCTTTAATTGTTCACTTCATGTATGAAGTAGTAGTTAGTCGTTAGATGTGAGAAAAATGTGTCTGTGATGTAACTTATAAATAATTGTGTATTCTTTTGCGAATGCATTTAAGAACAATTTATTATAGATATACTTTAGTCTGTACTAGAGTTAACTTCCTATTTTGATGAACAATACAAAAAAAATAACATTGACTAAACACAAGATGAATGTGTTACTCAGACTTATGCCATGAAAACTAACATAATTTTATGTTCAATCAAATACCATCACGTTTCTAGGAGAAGTTCATTTGATGTGAAACCTGACAAAAGATTCATACAGGAAATAATTAAAGACTAGGCTGTTGGTGAGCGGCCTATGCTCCTCCACAAGGGGTAACAGGCGTAAGTAAGTAAGTAAGGCTGTTTTAACCTAAATTATCGTGCTTTGGATTAGTTTCTTAAAGGATGAATCATCTACGTGGTGTTTTTATTGCTAAGGTGGTGATTGAATTGGAAGTTTTACGTTTCATTGATTTTATTCAGAAATCATACACATGTCTAGAAAGAATAGCTGTAATTCTATGAGTTTCACATATGACTAACATGTACCACTGACCGATTGACTAGTCAAAAATATGAGAATAATCCAATTGTAGAACTTATTGATAAAAAGGCATTGAGAAGATAACATATCATATTATCAACAAGTGGTAATTAAGTCAGCCTATTATATATCAAGCATGTGTCATCTAAATATTAGTCACTTTAGTCTAAAGATAAAAATCAGATATTATGAAAACGAATCAAATAATTCATTTGCATTTGTTATATCCTGGTGAAGACATAAGTATGGGTAGCTCCCAGGACCTATTAATGGACGATTGTTCTATATATATTCTTATTGTTTAACTATTAAGTAATTAGATTGTGTATATCTATATTCATCTTATTATAAGCTTCATTTTGACCTACGAATTATTAGTACACGATTTACTGTCCCTAAATTATATCCAGTTCATTGATTATTGTATCCCACGTTCACAGCCATATTTGGCTTGATCTTGTACAAATATCATTTTCTGTTTTATGGTGTGATGCGGTCTGTCTGTCTGGTATATAAACCGAGTATGTTTGAAATGAATGATTCGCTGTAATTGGTGTTCTGGTGTTAATTGGAAGGGCTAGGCGGACAAGGGATCAATAAGGACACTAGACTGCTCATACCAGTTGAAAGTCATTGATTTGATACAGTGCTAAGATCGGAAAATTCGTATTTCGATTGGTGGATAATTCACGTGATAAAAAGCCGGACATAAAATCATAGCGAATTCGCAACGGCCCTTTACAAAGTCATAACAGCTTTGCTAATGGTTCTGAAAACGCCTCTATTCTAGTTTACTCGAGTTGTAATATGGAATTAAACGTTTTTTTCTCTGCAATATTAAGTGAAGCGCTAACGTCTAAGGTTATTTCTGGAATTTCGATCTTTCCTCACTATTCACAGATCTTTAATAATACTTTCATACTCTTGAGAAGAATTCATGAAGTTAATTACGCCCTTTCTTATCTCGTTTGAAACAATGCAATGATTAGAATATTTTTCAGTATAATTACCAATCACATCTTGTTAGTGTTCTTGAAGCTTGTATGTAGAGAGGTATGGTCGTATATTCTACATCACTAGCTGTGATTATTCATACACCTCTTTAATAAGTACCAGTTAGCACAAAACAAAGATCCAGTGTTCGTTACTAACCAACTAACATCAATCAGAACACTACTGGGAATTGAGCCATTTATACTGATGGTCGCACTAAAATTTGATCGATAGGATCTGATTACCACAAAAGAAACAGTATTTACTATACTAAATACTACTAACTGACCAGTTAGTGTTCTAGTCAACTATTTAGAAAACAGTATAAAAGAAATGCACATATGAAAGCACAACTACCTTTTTAGTAATCAAAAAACAATTAGTAGATTAATATTTCTCTCAAAGATAACCATAAGGGTTAGTTAATCAAAGAAGTTGTTACAGATCTTATTCAACTAAGTATTTTGAAATTAAATAAAAATAATGTTTGGGTCCAGTAGAAATTATATAAATAAGTAGATTGTGTCTGATAATTGTGCTTTTTTGTCTCGTGTAGATCACTAACGTAGATGATCTGTGTCGAATGATTTGGGGGCCAGCTAACGTTGAAGTCATATTTTACGGTTAGTACCTAACTTGAGTTATCCTTTTGGTCGTATCCAGGTACTATGGGTGCTTTGATGGCTGTAAAACATAAACGAAGTTGTTACAGAAATATATTAGTAAGAGTAGGTACAAGGAAGAGAGTGTGATTCGCACCGCGTGGGTTGGTCCATGGCGTGCGATTAACTAAAGTGTTTCGGCTGTCCTTGAACTTGACGAGGATCAGTGAACTGCTCGACACTCAGTGACCCGACTGTTCGATGATTTCGTTAGGGCTCAAAAACATTTCACTGGC